TTCATTAAAGACAATATTATTGTTTTTTCTTGATTGTTGAAATAAGTATTTCTTCACCAACAGGATTATCAAATTTATTACCATGTGATCTTTTTCCAGATAACCAAAAATAACAGTTTTCACATCAAATTCAATTCTTTTACCAGACTTTTGAAAAATCCAATCTGACAATTCTAGCCAAATCATAGAAACCTGTGGACAGTAGAAAAATATATGCTTAATTGATTCTGGTTCTAATTTACATATTGAACAAAGTGGTGAATTTTTAATTTTAGACAAATATAAGTACTTATTAGTACCTAATATTCTATGAATAATTCTATAATTAAACCACATAAGTCCTGAGTCTTTTGTTATCAATTTAAAGTTTGCATAAACATGTTTCCAGTTGAAATTTGACTCTAACTTTAGATAGTGGCCCATTTGTTTTCACAAATTGGTTTGTGCTGTGTTTTGGATATTAAATAATCATGAATATTTCTAGATCCTTTCTTGTTCTTACAAAGTATTTTTATAAATTCAGGTTGATATGGTTTAACATGAGTATTATATGACAATTGCTTGATATTTGGCCATGCACTCAAAATACTTTGCTTCAGACCCTCATATGTGCTAAATGGTAACTTTACTAAATAATAATTTGTGATACTTTCATAACTAATAAAATTACCTTCTATATCGAATAAGTCATGTACTATGTGGAACCCTTTATCAAACATTTTCTTACAAAATACATATTTATTTTGAATCTTTATTTTATTATTATACCACAGTGGTTCACACAATGGATTTAAATTAAAACTTTCTAAAAATTCTGCAAAATAATATAGAGTTTCTTTCCAAAAAATATTTTGTGTGATTTTTGCCCTTTGTTTACTGTATTCAGACCCAACACTACATAACTTGGTAATATTACATCCTGTAATTTCAGAAAAAATATTACACCAATCTAACTCAGTTGTTAAAATTCTCCTTATTCAAGTTAGCTTAAGAGATTTAATAAATGTTTCTATATTGGTCATTCTACATCCACCATTTCCGAAATCCAATTGCAGTGTTTTTCGAGAAATTTTATCAATTTTGTTTCCCCATATGAATTTGTATACGGTTTTTTCGAAATTCTGTATCCACTGCAAACTTGGTTTTGGAAGAGAAATGAATAGATGAGTAAACTTTGATAGGAACAAACTTTTTACTACTGTTATTTTTCCTAAAGGGGTAATATTTCTTTTTGACCAATGGTTTATTTCTTTCTGAATAAGTTTAAACTTCTTATCGAAATTAAGTTCCTCCATGTTTTTAAGATTTGCTGTATACGTTATACCAAGAACAGTAAAAGGTTCAGTAGTCCATTTTAATCCTGTCTCTATACAGACTGTATTTCCTGTGTTTATTTTAGACCCAATCCAGACTACTTTTGTTTTTGAAATATTTGGCTTTAAGCCTGAAAATTTTGAAAATTGAAAAAGAAGATCCAGCGCACTTTTAAGACTCTTTTCTGATCCATCAAGAAAAAGAACTGTGTCATCTGCATATTGTATGAGACAAACTTTTTCCTTCCCAATTTTAATGCCTTTGATATTTCTATTCTGTCGAATCATGTGTCCTAAAATTTCTACACAAAGATTAAAGAGGTAAGGAGATACTGGGTCACCTTGACGACAACCCCTACCAATTTCAAAAAAATTTGAAAAAATACCTTTCTGAATAACACATAGATTAGCTTTATTATATAATACTGAAACCCATTTAATAAGGTCAGGACCAAACTTAAAAAATTTCAAAGTATTTAACATAAATTTCCATGATATGGAGTCAAATGCTTTTTCAAAGTCAATAAGTAATATCATACCAGGAATATGTTTTTCATGTACTGTATTAATTACATCATAAATCATTCGTGTATTCTCTCCAATAAATCTACCATTGATAAAGCCTTTTTGATTTTGATTAATTAAGGAGTCAAGAACCTTTTTAAGTCTATTTGCAATGCATGCAGATGCAATTTTATATGTTACATTAAGGAGAGATATTGGGCGCCAATTACTAAGAAATTCTCTCGGTTTATCTCCTTTTGGTAGAATGGATATAATACCTTGTTTCTGGGTTACTGATAGCTCTCCTTTTAAAAAACCTAAATTTATTGATCTTATTAAAAACTTTCCTAGATCCTTCCAGAAAAATTTGAAAAATTCTGTAGTGAAACCATCGCTACCTGGACTTTAATCATTTTTCATATCTTTTAAAGCAGAGAGGGCTTCCTCTTGAGTTATGATACCTTCCAATGTATTAGACAAGTTTTCGTCCAAAGTATATATATCTTCTTTATTGATAATGGTTTCTAAGTCTACATCAATTAGCCTGTTGTCGCATGTATATAGGTTTTTGTAAAAATTTTCAATTTCTGATAATATTTCGGATTGGGAAGTAATAACACTACCATTGCTTTGAGAAATTTTGCTTATAGTTTTATTAACATAGTTTCTTTTTTCCAAGCTAAGGAAATACTTAGTAGGTTTTTCTCCCTCTTCAATCCATTTTAATTTTGTTCTAACAAATAAACCTTTAATATATTCTTTACGATATTCTTCAAGCCTATTCTGGGCTCTATTTAATTTTTCAACTATTTCATGTGACTCATTGTCATTTCTTAAGGATTCTAAGTACTTAATTTCTTCTTCAAGAGCTTTAATAGTTTTATTTTTTATTTCCTTTTTTCTAGAGCAGTAACATATTGTTGCACCTCTTATGCATAATAATAACTGTTCAAAAAAAAGTTGATCATCAATGCAAAAACATAATTCTTTGTCCTCCACAGAGCTAATTGCTGAGGGGTTATAAGGAGTGGCAGCATATTTTAACTTTACTTTTTGAATTGTTTCCTTAACACAATAAATATAAACATGGTCATTTAAAAGAGAATTATTAAATTTCCAAAAACCTTTTCCTCTTACAAATTTAGTGAATTTGATGTAGAGTTCAATCAATGAGTGGTCAGACCTGTACCCTGACTTTATATCCACCTTATCTACTAATGCCATCAATTCATTAGAAACTAAGAAAAAAATCAAGTCTCGCTTTTTTTGTAGGGTTAGTCTTAAACCATGTGTACCTTTTTCTCTGTTCATGTTTTACTCTCCAAGGATCAGTCAGACCATGAATATCTTTCATATTTATGACGATATCTCTAGTTTTTTTTTATTATTTATATTAGTATAGTTATAGTAATCCAATTTTGTGTCTTGAACCAGATTAAAGTCACCAGCCATAATTACAAATTCGCCTTGAAAATTTGAAACTATTTCTGATACTGACTGAAAAAAATTTGGATTATCTGTATTTGGACCATATATGTTAACTAATAAGATATCATATTTATTGAACACATTAAGTTCTAGTACCAACAGATTACCTTCTTGATCTATATGTTCATTTATGATTTTGTATTCGAAAGTATTATTAAACAAGATTGCAGTGCCTCTGGCATTGAACTGCCCAGGAGATAAATAAACATCATAACCCCATAAAGATCTGATATCTTTGTAATCGTTCATAGTGAAATGTGTGTCTTGTAAAAAAAGTAAACAGAAAAATGTTTTTGTTTAATGTAGTTAAGTACATCTCTCCTTTTTTCTAATCCCCCAAGACCTCTACAGTTTAAAGACATAATGCTAAAGCTCATAAAAGTATGTACAGTTTGACAAAATAAACAATATTTTTCAGTTAATATCCACCCTGAGTGTACTGTACAGACAATGGGAGGTATATGTAAAAGGTATCTAAAAAATGATTGACTTAGTGCATGTACTTTGGTACACTTTACTATGATACTAGTCCAACCTAATTCACACATACATCTTTCACACACTGACAAAGATAAACACAAAAATACGAAAAAATAAAGTAGCATAATTCCAGTAGACACCTGAGCGGCTCATTGATAGCGCATTTTATTGTTTACCCAGCCGTTATGTCACTCATCACCGGAAGTGTTCTTGACTGTATACATATATGTTGCAAACCAATTTCGATCAGAGTCATTTTTTCCGAATTCTTTCATCTATCGAGTCAAAAATATCAAACTTGATTCTACGTTTTCCACATTGTCCGTATACAGCACCATTAAAGTACCACGCCGCGGTGATTCTTGGGTCTTCACTGAGTTTGGATATTAGGATAGCGTTATCCCGCGTCACGTCGTCAGCGACTCTCCATCCCTTTTTCAGGTCTTTTATTTCGGATCTTTTCCTCATTATGTTCGCTTTGGCTTCAGGGTTACGCATTTTGACGATTATTGGTTGAGGCTGGTCTTTTTGTCCTGATGGAATGCGGTGAATAGCCAGCACGTCAGTTTCCAATATTGCCACGCCCACTTCTCCTAATGCCTCGTTAAGCTTTTCTATTAAGTGTTCACCCTGTGTTTCGGGAAAACCATGAAATTTGATATTTGTCTTTCTAGAGTACTGTTCGTTATAGTTCGCTTTTGCAGCAGCAATTTTGACCAACTTTTCATTTTCCTCTACTCTGTTATGTACATCATTTAGCGCTAAGTCTCTTTCATTTAGTTCCCGTTTAAGCTCCGAGTTCTCTTTTTTAAGCTGTTCAATACCCTGTGATAGCTTGTGATTGTCTTGTTTTAATTGCGAAATTTGATCGTTCATTTTCTTTTCAAATTTTCCTAAATAGTTGGAGAATAGCTCATCTACGACATTTTTGATGATATCTTTAATGTCATCAACTTTGATTGATTTTTTAAGATCGTTTTTTATTTCAGTCAGTTGCGTCTGAATTGACAGCATTTCCTCTGACGTTTTTTCTGATTTCTCCTGTTTTTGACTACTGTTCTGTGGAGTCTGAGATGTTTTTTTTGAGATCGGACTGTTTGTTGACTTGCGTGAGTTAGCATTCGTGTTTCGGGTAACAACACCACTGGTCGACATAGTAAAGTATTTGTCTATTGTATTCATATAACCGGTTGAAACCTGTAACTATTTATAGCAATGACTACTCACGTCGAATGTGGATTGTTCAAAGTCTCCTTCAAAACTACACACCAGGTCTCTCAAAATCACTGTCCTAAATCCCTGGACACCCTTCACCACAAAACACCCCATCCAAACACCCAACTTCTTCAATTATGCACTATAACGGCCACTCCACCGCTCTGTCACAAAATGCGACCTATTCGCGCGGGCGCCATTACCGGAACTCACAAGATGTAAATTATACTGTTTGTGCAAATTCTTGCATTATAAAATAAATAAAAATGAGCAAAAATGTTGGTTAAAACAAGAAAAGGTTTATATACATGTACCTCAGAGAAATATAATATTTTATCAATGTACTGTACTGCTGGCTGCGCAGACAGATGTTCTCATAGGTAACGTTAGACCTAGCAGTTAAATTGTTTGTGCAACATTCCTTTGACCATCCAGACAAGTCTATCCATATTCAACAATGATTTCTTATACTACAAGCATTCAACTTACAATGGATTTGAAGTAGAACTTTCGTCGAACACAGAATCAAAGGAAGATTCATGATTCCCCGGTCCTTGTTCTTGTAGTTACTTTTATTTATCATTTATTTGTTTTTGCTTTTACTGATAAATATCATAAATATTCAGTTTTATTTAAATTAACACTATATTTAAATACAACCTTCAACCAATTGTTTATTTTAGCAAAATTACTAATTAAAAAAAATTCTGCTGTAAACGTGGAATTTTGAAAGATTTATTTGAACAATTAATAATACAAGTACATCATATTAATCTTTAAAAGCATGGACTTAAATTTGATACTGTAAAATTTTGAAAATTTAAGATATCTTAAAAGACACATTTGTATTAATATTTTATTTAAATACAAAAAATTATTTCATCTGACACACAAATCCTAAATTTATTTCAAAACATAAGTAAATAACATTATATTATTTGACATTTTTAATTAAGTAGTGTTCATAAAAGAAAACAGATGTTTAATACCAGAATTGTACCAATTTTCTAAAACATTTGCGTGCCATAGTTTGTAAAAATACTTTATTAACTTTTAAATATTTATTATATTGATAAAAACGGAAAGAAATCTACTGAGTTCCTGAATATAAATTTGGTTTCTTATTGATTCTGTCTCATTCAATCCTGTAGCAGGATAAAGAAAATGATTAGAAGACCCACAATCAACCTTTTAGTTGTCATTGGTGTCATCCTAGTATCGTGTCATGCTGCTGAGGAAGATCTTGATTATCACAGCGGTATGTGTATTTTATTATTGAATAAATCTTTTTAGGATGCATTGCCTCATGATGAAGACGGCTGTTCTTTCAAATTGAATATGTGTCAACATCTTACAGGTATTTCCTTATCCCGCTTTTATACTCTAAAAATTTAAACAAGCATATTGAAAGCCTGATTTCTATTCATTTTTGGATGACAATGCTATTAATTATTTGTTTTTTCCTCTTTAAATCAATGCAAAGACTCAGTGTTACAACAAAGTAATGATTATCATAGTTTATGACATCGTATCTCGTATTTTGAATCTCGAATGTCGAATGAGCCTTCCGAGCTTTTAAGAGGGCTGGGTGGTTGTGGCCATTTTCAGACTATATTGATCTCCTTTAGAAGAAGAGCTCCATATGAAGATATACAAAAATGATCAAATTTTAAAACTAAAATGTATGAAATTTTTCTTTGCCAAATGATAGTTCAAAGCTTAAGGTATCATATCTAAACAATTTAGTTATATCTGATGGTTAATTTATTGACCCCCCAGCTTCCTTAAACAGTAATTTAAACTATAAATATAGTTACTATTTCAGATAACGTATATTTATTGAAGATATTGTTTTATGCTCTTTTGTTTCTTTTTTATACAATTGGTACCTTTTAGTATCTTACATACTTCTAATATTGGATTTCATATTTCACTTCTTTTTTTTTTTATCAAAGAACGTTTTATAGTATAACAGATCTTCCAATAATAGAATAATCTCTGTTTTCCGTACAGAATGCTGGAGAGATTTGTTATACTTTACTTCTATTCATACAATATTACTTTACTCCGCTGTGAAATTCTCTCAACTTATCGTGTTGTTAAGATTTGATTGTTTTTTTAAGTTCTTAGATGGATCGAGGTGAAATTCTCTCAGTTTCAAACTATGTTTTCTTTACAGTGGCATGTGGTTTTGAAAAAGACAATTGTGGTTGGACATCATATAATACTCCTGTACAATTACAAACTTACGCTGTTCTTTGTGGATGGAGAGGAAATCCTGGACTTTGCAAAAGCCATGACGATTTTCAAAATGCAGTAGGATGGCAGAGAATAGATACTGCCTCATTAGAACCATATTTGAAGTGTAAGTTACCAGCTATGCAGTAGTAGAAGGATGAAGAGTGTGTGCTGAAAGCAATAATACATGTAGTTGTGGCCCGCCAAATTCACAAAATGAGCTAAACATAGTAACTAGGTTTATCCACTGCAAAATGTTATAGTTTACGAACCGTTATCTATAAGTAACGACGTTTGATACAACGCACTTTTGAAAAATTACGCACTTTGAAAAAAATTTTCAAAGTGCGTTAATTTTGGGACCACGTTAACGCACTTTGAAAAAAAAAATATTTCTTTTCAAAGTGAGTTAATATCGACCATACATGTATTAACGCACTTTGAAAAAAAAATGTACACGGCTTGGTCAATATTCTTGCAAATTTTAGGTATGATAAATAATTATTTAAACATGGTCGGATAACTTTTCGGTGATGACACCAGGATCTGAGATATAGATGTTTTAAAGATTTTTAGGAGTTGTCTTGTTTCCAAAGGTTCTCGTAACTGTTAGAAAAGGGAAATGGATCTTAGAAATAATGGAGGAATGATTATTTAATAGCACAGTTTCGTTTCTTTTTTTCTTTTCTTTTTTTAAATTTTATCCAGTCTCTAATAAGTTCGGTAGATGTAGGTGTCGATAAGTGACTTAAAGCATTGCATTTTTCTAAGGGAAAAGGGAGCAATTATGATTTTTCCATACCATGAAAATTCTCTCTCTCTCATCTTTTTTTCTATCATATTCATCTATCTATCTATTGTGAACATATATGAAACAATGGTTGACTCATTTATTTGATAGTAAGAAAATAAACCTTAGCCACATTACTCACTTGACTGAAATTTTTATCTCGTTCACTATTAATTTTTTCTCAAATAAGGTATGCAGTCAGATTACTTCTAAATCTGTAATTTGATATTATAAAAACGCAAGACATGTCAAATAGCATGTTTTAATTACCATGTAAATGCATTTTTGCTGAGGAATCATTTTGGATACATTTTGAATAAAGGCTATGCGACTCTCTTCTTTAACATAATAGGGTGCATATTTTTTTTTCAGGAAAGCTTATCTCAATTTTTATGCCTCCGGATCGAAAGATCCCGGAGGTATATTGTTTTTGTCCTGTTTGTCTGTCTGTCTGTTGTCAACTTTAACCTTGCCCATAACTTTTGATTGGTTGGAGCTATGACTTTAATATTTCACATGTGTTTTTCTTGTGACAAGACCTTTCTTTGGGTACCATCATATTTGACCTTTTGACCTTGACCTTGGAGTTTGACCCACTTTTGAAAAATTTTATGAGACTTTAACCTTGGCCATAACTTCTGAACAGTTGGTGCTTGGGGTTTCAAACTTCACATGTGTATTCTTTGTGACAAGACCTTCCTTTGAATACCAACAACTTTGACCTTTTGACCTTGACCTTGGAGTTTGACCTACTTTTGAAAAACTTTAACCTTGGCCATAATTTTTGAACAGTTGGTGCTTAGGGTTTCAAACTTCACATGTGTATTCCTTGTGACAAGACCTTCCTCTGAATATCAACCACTTTGACTCTGTGACCTTGACCTAGGAGTTTGACCTGCTTTTGAAAAACTTTAACCTTGGCCATAACTTCTGAATGGTTGGAGCTAGGGCTTTCATACTTCACATATGTAATCCTTGCGACAAGACCTTCCTTTGGATACCAACCACCACTTTGACCTTTTGACCTTGACCTAGGAGTTTGACCTAATTTTGAAAAACTTTAACCTTGGCCATAACTTTTGAATGGTTGATGCTAGGGCTTTCATACTTCACATATGTAATCCTTGTGACAAGACCTTCCTTTGGATACCAACCACTTTGACCCTTTGACCTTGACCTAGGAGTTTGACCTACTTTTGAAAAATTTAACCTTGGCCATGACTTTTGAATGGTTGGTGCTAGGGCTTTCATACTTCACATATGTAATCCTTGTGACAAGATCTTCCTTTGGATACCAACCACTTTGACCTTGACGTTTGACTTTTATTTAAAAAACTTTAACCTTCGCCATAACGTTTGAACAGTTGTATCTAGGTCTTTTAAATTTCACAGGTGTATTCCTCGAGACAAGACCTTTCTTTGGGTATCAACATTTTTTATCTTTTGGCCTGGATTTTGACTTGCATTTGAAGAAACTTTAACCTTCGCCATAAGCTGCCATACGGGGGCATCAGTGTTTCACAAACACATCTTGTTTCATCTATTTTACGTTAACTCAAATTTATTGAGAGAAATAATATCAATGTCATACCAGTTATGTAAATACATATATTTGTGTAGGAAAGATAGAGAGTTGGGCTGAGGGACTTTCTACCTGTCTTCTCCTCGTTCTCGATGAGAGTAGATCAATTCATCAGTTTTCCGGAAGAAATATAACAAATTGATGCTGTCTATTATTAAAATCTAAGTCCAGAATTTTTGTTTGCCAGTTCATCTGATAATATGGTTTACGATTTGTAAACTATGGTTTACAACTCTAAACAATAGTCTACGAATGTTAATTATAAATCATTGTTGTAAACTCTACTTTACAGATATTTAAGGCACAAAATTTTTAATTGTAATAAAAAATTATACATATGGAAAATACAGTTTAAGAGCAGAAACCCTGATTTAGTATCGGAGACACATTTTTTGTGAAACTATATTTTACGACTTTAAATCATAGTTACTTATTTAAGATATCAAGAAAAGAAATAACTTCTGCTTAAATGTATTGTCTTTTCCGATTGGTTTGGCGAGATTTTGAATTTAAAAAAAATCATCGTTAACAGTTAACAGCTAGTGTTTAGATTCATATACTATAGTGTGAAATATAGTGTCTGACAAAATCTATTATTGACAAATGCGAATCATTGTTTATCTCTCAAAACTATAGTCTACGATTAAATTATTGATAATAGTTTACGTCAGTTAAATATAAGTTATGAGTATAAATGACAGTTATCTGTAGTTTAAGATCAAAATCTTAATTAACGAGTGTAAAACATAATTTGTTAATATAATCAATATAGTTTCACGATTTGTGAAACTATGATTTTTAACTCTGAACCATCGTTTACGAATGAAGATTGTAATTTACAAAGAGTAAATGCATTGCCAAGATAAAAGATCCTCAATACTATGAATATTAACCTCTGTCCGATGACGTCTTTAGACAAGTTGAAAAATTCTGAAAGGAGGCGTAAAGCAATATACAATTCATCAATCTTAAAACCAATTCTATATTTCCGTGAAATTACTTTTTTTCTGTTAAAGGCTTTCAAATAGCCTAAATTGTTTTTGATGTATTTTTGAAGAAATCGAAGAAAACTTAATTTACATTTACATAAACTATAGTTTACGAATGCTTATCTAAGAGTATCTGTTAGGGATAGATTTTGCTTTAAATATTGATTCTCATTTGCTAAGCTGCCTACAGATAAATAAGTTGGCCTTTACACAAGGATATTAACAATCTCGTTTAAAGTCAACATTTTGTCCTTGTTTGCAAATACAACCTACTGTTCTGTCGAATATTGACTGACGTTTTTATTTATTACCTTATTTCTCACTGATTTGTCTACTGAATACTCCGTTTACCTGATGTAGACAATAGGGCTCACGGTGGGTGTTACAAGTCGACAGGAGAAGCTTTCTTCTCCATGGTATCTGATCCCTCCCCTCCTTTTGAAGTTTTCAAGGATGAGTCCGTGTAATGCTTTTCACTTCTGTTGTTTTATTACCAATATTGTACCGTCATTAATTGTATAAATAGAAGTGGTATTTTTGATAGCAGCATACATTAGTGGTATCAATTATTGTCATCATAATGTACAACATAGTACTTTCATTGTTGTTTGTTACATTAATTACACGTAATCTAATTGTGTTAGTTAGCCAAAGATATTATTTTTATTACACTATTCTATATTTATTCCATAGCGCTTGGAGCAAAGATTCCTAATTCTGTACTCGAAAGGATTCGTAAACTTGATGAAAATAATATCCTTGTCGCAGCACGAAATTACCATGACAATGACATCGTCATGCAAATAACTGACGTAGTCTCTCCAGAAATCACAATGTCAATGTGCTACCGCTGTCTCCACTATAATTATCTGGCTTTTGAAGACAACACTCTTGTTGTGGGTTATATAAAAAATTACTTCAAGCCATATGATCTGTCTGAGCATTTAAATTTCCATGAGTCACTTGTAATCAAAGTTAATAGTGCATCCGTCACTCTTCCTGTTGGAACAAAATTCAAGGTAAAGCTATCTTACGCACTCTTTGTATTAACAATACTAATTTTTGCCTTCTTATCTCCTTCTTATAAATTCTATTATTTTGTTTAATTTAAGGTGGTGTTCCGAGGAATGTTTCCAAAATCTACCTATGGATTTCTTTTAATTGATAATATAACAATCACTGACGGAATATGTGGTAAAAAAAAAAGAAGAAGATAAAATGCTACTGAATGATTAACTAAAAAAAAATTAAAATAATTTGAAATCAATGTAGAAAATAAATTGAAATAAAGTGATGTGTTTTTATTTATTGTCTCTGTTTAATTACAGAAAAGTGCGGTCCTAATGAATTCAAATGTAGTAATATAAGTGATGAGTGTATTCCATTTGACAAAGTGTGTGATCTTGAACCCGACTGTATAGGAGGAGAGGATGAAAAAAGATGCAGTATGTATATCTATTCGGTTAAGTGTATCATAATGTATACTTATATTTATATCCGTAACATTGTCTAATGATTATTTGTTTAAACACAAAACTTTACGCGTTTAAATTTTACGGATTCATAAAACTCGTAAAAATAAGTAAAAATTAGCAGCACGTAAAAAATACCTGCTATACGGTACTTTTTATTGATTACACTTGTCGGTGATACTGGTTCTTGTAACATTAGAAAGGGATTAATGAAATGAAAACATTTTAAGAAATTAACAAATATTTTTTAAGTAAAATTAAAATTATTTAAAAAAAAAAAGAATTGGAATTTTTTTAATAACATGACAAAAAAGTGGGTTGAAATATATTCATACGTAATGCGTTATACATATAAATATATGCATAACACTTGCCTTTATTTTAATATTTTTGTTGATTATAATTTGATTATAATGTTTTCAACACTCTAATGTACACATTTATCCACAAAAGTGAAACATTTGGTTTTACTCCTAATATTGAACAACGAAATCAGAAAAGATGACAATTCACCACCCTTAGCGATTATCTTATGGAAATGCTTTTACAATTTTGCCTTTCATAGAACTTTTTTCCAGACTGGAGTGTCATTAAATCATCATGCATGAAAAACGAAAGCTCAATGTTTCCAAATGAAACTCTACCACTACTAGAGAACGGTCTACAAAGAAAAGAGGATTCATGGAGGCAATTTATTCCTCTTTTAAATCAGTGTGAAAGAGAGGACCAATGTCTATCGAATTCTTCTGACACCTGTTTCTTATATTGTCCTAGTGACTGTACCTGTAATGATCTGTCTGTCAACTGCTCTTCTGACAATGTACCATCTTATGCTACTTCTATAACGTGGCATGGTCTTGTTCAAGAGAATTTGGAAATAAGCAAGGAAAGGTTCCCCAATGTTATGGCGCTTAACATTTTAAATTGTACCTTTCGATCTCTGAAAATTGGCAAATACCTGAATATTGAGAGTATTTCAATCAAATACAGCAAAATTGACTACCTTTCCATGTCTTATTTTAGTACAGATATGTTACAATACGTACATATATTTGAGAGCTCATTTCAAAGGCTTACCTTTCATCGAACAAAGGGTTATGATATTGATGAATGGTATGTTTATAAAAGCTCTCTAGTTGATAAAAATACCAATCTCGAAGGACTCTATGGGACTAACTTTAGATTATCGGAGTCTGAAAGCTTCTACGGGTTTTTGCAAGAACTGCGTTATTTGGTTGCTAACTTCAGTTTTTGTAATCTGACTGAACTACAACCTAGTTCTGTCTACGATGCCATAACACTTGATTTAAGTTACAACTTCTTAATGACATGGAAACTGATATCATACACACAAATGCTCCATTTACAGCATAATTTAATAACATCGTTAAACTACACTCTTGACAAAACACAGTCAGAGGCCCGTTTACAGTATTTGGATCTTTCTTACAATAAGATTTTTAGCATTAATAATGAAGATTTGGAGGAATTACCAAATCTCTTGTATCTTATTCTTCATGAAAATCGATTAACACATATCCAAGAAAAAGCTTTTGATAAATTAACTAAACTAATTCATTTGGATTTGTCAAATAATAATCTACGAAACCTAAACCGCGGTCATTTTCTATATCTCTCAAGATTACAATACCTCAACATTCAGAATAATGATGTTAAAGTAATTGAAGGAATGTTTGACAGTCTCATGAATATTCTTTATCTTCAAGTTGATTCATATACTCTCTGTTGTGCACAACCAAAAGCTGTCAGCAAGATTCAGTGTTTAGCTCCCGTGAACGAAATATCCTCCTGCTACAATTTGATAGATTTACATATTCTTAGGATAATCATTTGGTATATTGCTCTTCTTGCTCTATTTGGGAATATGTCTGGTATATTTTACAGACTTTATCAAGTAAAGAAAAAATCAATCACAACGTTTGACGTTTATTCTTTAAATCTGGGTCTGGCAGACTTCTTTATGGGTGTTTATCTTTACATCATAGCCGGGGCTAACATAGCGTTCAGTGGTCGTTATGGTTTCGAAGATTTCTCTTGGAGGCATAGTCCTTATTGTATCTTTGCTGGTGTCTTGGCTACTTTTTCTAGCGAGGCATCTGCTCTATTCGTTCTAATGATTACGATTGATAGAATACTTGTCGTGCGATTTCCATTTTCAATGCTCAAGAAAAGGGTCTGGATATCAAAACTCAATTCCAGCTTGGTATGGACCTTTGCTCTTTTTCTGTCTATAATACCTCTATCTGGAAGTGAATATTTTGATGACTACTATTCCAGTTCTGGGGTGTGTATTTATTTGCCTTTGTCTGTTCTACGTAAGCCTGGATGGGAATATTCCATGATCATATTTGTTGGAGCAAACTTTGTTATCTTTATTGCAATACTCTTTGGGCAATTCGTAATATTTACGGATGTTGTTCGAATGGGAAAGAAAACGGCCTTGCATTCATGCAGTCAACAAAGAAGGCGAGAAATTGGCTTAGCAAAGACTTTGATTACAGTTGCAATTACAGATATGTTTTGTTGGATTCCTATTGGATCTATAGGTTAGAATTTCTTTACATTTTAGACAATTTTGAATTGATGAAACTTACTTTAACACTAATTTATTTTTTGTTTGATGTTTTTAAATCATTCAACTAAATATTAAGGGCTTCTGACGTTCATGGGTATTGATGTAACTGTTCAAGTTTATGCATGGATTATTGTTGCTGTACTTCCAATAAACTCGGCCCTAAATCCACTCATTTACACATTTTCTGCAATCATGAGACATGGAAGCCACAGAGTAAGACCAAAGTTTCAATTTTTTAAAAATGTGTTGAAATCTACCTAAAATATATAATTAAAAACAGCTATACATTTTTATACGTACAAAATATTTCAGAATCGTACTCAGAAAAACGGCTTTACAAAGGAAAGGGGGAATAATAAACTTAATCAAAGAAATCTGGTGGGTATACTAGTATATGAATATTCCTCTAATGAAAAAATAAATAAATATTTTTCAGATTTATTTTAGCTAAATTGAGTGATGATTATTTTCGTATTTACCTTCCTTTTTACAGCCGTCCCTGACAGATGAAGAAGATTTGTCGATTCCCTCCGCAGAAACATGGAGTCAAGAAAACAAAGAACAGATAAAACCTAGTGTAAACACTATTTCAAATGAATAACTTTAGCGGTTAAAAAATGCTAGATAAAGCAAATAGCAATAATAAACTTGAAATCTAAAGGATTTATTTAACTACTAACAAAAGTATACAAAAAAGAGGTGTGTGAGTTAATGCTTGTACAAACAGTGCAGAACTATGGAATAACCAAAAAACTTTGCATATTGTCAGTTTATTTTGTTGCATTGTTCATGACAGAAATAATTGGAAGTGTTTGTTTTTTTTAAATAGAATGACCTAGCTTCTAATAGTATCTATTTTTTGATGATGTAATGTATAACAAACCCAAGAGCAAAGTAAGCACAGTTTTCCTTCTTAATGATTTTTAAAGGGCTTTGAAGATCGATTAATAAAAGAAAATTAACTACAAAAAGTCTTTTCGGATTGCATTTATGTACAGATACACTATATTAAACTTAAGAACATTACACTCTGTGTATTACGATACGGTATAGACCAGTTAGAACCTTTTAAAATAGTTTTGAATTCGATACAACAATTGTTGAATTTTTTAAGACGAATTTTACTCGTTATATCAATTTTCTATTCAAAATAACTAAATTAATCTATTACAACAAATTTGTTGAATTCTAAAACTTGTTATGTCGAATTAAATTCGTTAAAACTAATTCGACAATTTATTATTGAATTCATTTTTTTATAGACTGTGGAACCCATTTAGGAACTATCAAAAAATATTTTTTGAATTCGATATAACGAATTGTCAAATTTGTATTAACGAATTTAATTCGTTGTAACAATTTCTTTGAATTCGTTGTAATGACTTTTATTTGTTATAACAGATTTGTTGTATTCGTTATTACGAATTCAAAAAATTGTTATGACAGATTTAATTCATTTAAACGAATGCAAAAATTTGTTATAACAAATTAAATTCGTTTAAACAGATTAAGACGAAATTGAATCCCTTTTATCAAATTCAACAATCATTCGTTAAAACAAGTTAAATTCGTTATAACTTTTTATAAATTATAATTTTTATAATTTTTGAATTCGTTACTGTAAATATTTCTTACCCTATGTTTAGAATGTATTAGAGAACTTTACTTTGAAAGAAATTGAAATCAAATTACAGAATAAGAGAAAATGAGGGAGAAAATGGGTAATTTTTTTTTTAAAGACCTATCCAGATCAGAATTAAAATGATCCATAGCACAAATATTTGAAATGGAGATAAAGGACAATTTCACAAGAATGTTTGAAAGTATAAAGCAAATTGCTCTGATAGAAGCAACTGCATCAAATAGTCAAAGACATATTTTTTTTTTTAAATTTATTTGTCAGTTTTATTTTAATTTGGATAACTTTCAAAATAAGCTATGTTTTTGATAGTAGAATTTTGCAATTTTATTTCAATATCTTTTTAACAAAATGTAGTCAAAAAATGTCTTTTCTATAAGCCATGGGGTAACGGAATCCAATGAATTAAATTGTGTTGTTTTTTCCCTTAATTTTCATTTTTTTTTAAATTGAACTGAATAACAATGTCTTTGCATGCCTTTTGACTTTTTATTGAAAATATAGATTTTGCTTAAATACACAACAGAGTTAAAGCTCATGCTTGTGAACTTCACAATTTTTTTTATATATCCTCTAGAAAGATTTAAAAATCATATACAAATAATTAAGTCGATTAAGATATCTCATGTCATGGGTGTTTTCTTAATTTGTGTACATTTAGCAATTAGGTACAGATTAATAGGTGTGAATATTTATTTTTTATAAATTATGTACAGTATAGTCTGTTTTCTGCCCTAAACTTATCTGGAATTACTAGTATCTGTATTTACCAGCTAATTGCGAATAAGACGTTTATTAAAGGCCTATACAATTTAGCGCATGTTTTTCTTTTACACCATTTTTAAATGCGCTCAAAAAAGTATCAGACTATCCTACATGTAATCTTGACTTTTTTGACAGAAGGAGACTTGATCCTGCTACAATAAGTCTGAAGAATTTTTTTGTCAAGTATATTTTAAGTACCTAGGATTAATCAAATAAAATGATTATTTTAATTTATATTGAAAATATTGTCTTCATATTAATGTCAAATATCTGATATTAGAAAAATGTTTAAGGTTTATATATATTTTAAGTACCTACGATTAATCAAATAAAATGATTATTTTAATTTATATTGAAAATATTGTCTTCATATTAATGTCAAATATCTGATATTAGAAAAATGTTTAAGGTTTATATATATATATATATATATATATATATATATATATATATATATATATATATATATATATATATATATATATATATATATATATATATATAATAAGATTTTTTTCTTGTTTTTATCTAAGTGAGTTATGGGAGTTATTACAACAAAGACATTATCCTACCTTACTGATTAAAACGGAATAGACAAGCTAAACTACATGACAGAACCAGCCTACTTCAGATAAAAGAAAAACCAGAAAAAAATCTTATTCCCTACGTATCAACACACAACCAAAAAAATCAAGAATTCTTCCAAGTCATCAAAACCAAGATGCCGATTTTAGAGAATGATCCAAGAATGAAAGAAGTATTGAGTGAATTTCAGTTAATCAAAAGTAAACGACAGAGTCCCTCCTTAAAGAAGATTTTAACACGAGCAAAATTTAACAATACAGAAGAAACCCCCATTGTTAAAAAATGTCATCACCCAAAATGTGGAACCTGTCTCTTTTTACAACAAACCCAAAAGTTTATTTTTAAAAACGAAAGAAAATTTATTCATTCTTCTTTTTCCTGCGAGAGTTCTAATTTGATATATGTCATTACATGTTTAGGATGCGGTGAGCATTATACTGGCCAAACCGGGGACACCCTTAGACACCGAATGACCGTCCATCATCAACAGATTCGTCAAACCTAGTACCAGTGCACTGCCGTAAGCGGACATATTAAAACATATTTCCTAACTTCGCAGTGTTTCCAATATACAAGTTCTACAACAAGACTTCCGAAAAAGAACATGAAACCAAGGAAAAAATTTTCATTTCATTGTATCAACCAATGCTAAATGTCCTATCATGATAGACAATTTACAATTTTCCCGCACTATTTGTCTAATTGTTAACATAATAACGTAACATAATGACGTCATAATGAACTTTGCTAAAGCGCAACAATTATTCAACGTTACACGACCTCACAATATACTTTGAAATGTTTGTATCTATAGCAATATGTCAAAACTCCTGATGATATACATGTAATTGAAACCGGTAGAGTTTTAATAGGCGTTCTGTTTTATTATTATTACTATTATTATTTCATACCTGGTGAATACACTACTTTATTTGCTACACCAATTGTTTGTATTCTAGTTGTGTTCTTTAAGAAATAAGGTATCATTTTAAAACATCTATCGGGATATAAATACGGGTTGGTCACGAGATCAAATTCCATAAAGCCCGAAGGGCTTTATGGTAAATTTGATCTCGTACCAACCCGTATTCATATCCCGATAGATGTTTTAAAATGATACCTTATTACTTATATTTACATTTGTGACTTATTCATATTATATATTAGCCTAATTATAACCTTTAACGCGTGAAATGTTTTATTTTTTCAAACTCAACCGCACGAGTTTGATCTATTGATTGCGCGTCGACCCTTTATGACGTCACTGAGAAATTACGTCGAACGTTTATGACGCGAGGAACCCGTGCTTATACGGATATAGATACGCGTTGCTTTTTTAGTGTTATATAAAAGAAAACATTTGCAAATGTAAATATACTGAATTATCATGCTTATTATGTTCTATATGAGCCTTTACCAATTACTATTTTTGTGTTTGTGCCAATAACATATTTGATATTTGATATCGGAATACAGTTTAAAATATCTCGGGATATCGCAATATAAAATTTCCAGCCAATACCCAGCCCTATTTTCCAATGTCAAAAATCATTTTGAATTGTAATATTTTTAATAAATTTAATATTATGATGTGTTTAAAGTTTAACTCATTGTAAATTATGTTAGAAGAATAATTTTTTAAAAAACACCATGAAAAATCAATACAGCAAATGCATTAGCACCCGTACTTAAAGGTCACCATTAAAACGGAAACGAAAGTAGAAGAAAATTTTACATAAAACGTTTTTCCAGTACGAAAGTACTTTTTACTATGAGTAGCCTAAAAGGTACCATTATAAAAGGACAAGTAAATAAGAATGAGTAGCAAAAAATCTTTATCGAGGCGGTGTGTTCTGGTAAAGGAAGTTCCAGAGGGGGTGAAAGAAGAATGTATCTACAGTATTCGTGGTATTGAAAAGTCCCACCGCCATAATGAGCTCAGTATTGGCAATGGAGAAGTAAAGTGGATTGTCTTGTTGACAAGCGAAGAAGGTTTGTTTGAATTAATTATCATATAAAATGTATGTTATAAAATATTTCTGTCTGAACATTAACATATGGGTTTTGTGAAAACAAGAAACAGAATCAGGCGCGGATCCAGGAATTTTTTTCCGGGGGTGGGGGTCCACCCCTGTCAAAAAAATTCCAATCCATTAATTTCTTGACAGAAAAAAAAAATTAAGTCCTTTCCCACACGTATCAAACCCAGAAAATTTCCTGACAAGCAAAAAAACAAAAAACAAAAAACAAAACAAAACAAAACAACACACACACACACACCCCCTCCCTCACACCCACACCCTTACACACACACACACACACACACACACACATATTTCAAAAAAAAAAGGACCTATTTCGTAATCCTGGTAGTTGGTTCCACGTTTTTCAGGAAATCCAAAGTAATTCTTTATTTGCTTCAGTATATACTTTTATCAACTCTGCAAATTTCAGGGGGATCCGACCCCCCCCCTTTCTAAATCCGCGCATGCATAATTATTACCTGTACGTTTAGGGGTTTAGCTAAAACGTGGAACGGAGAACGGAGTGGAATGAAAAATAAATTTAATATTTAGGGGCCATAATATGATAATGCATAATAAAGGAAATCT